TTATATTACGATAAGCGATTTACCATTGACCACTTTTTGGTATCTTGAACAAGAACCGAGAAAAATTGGCTAAAAGTTAAAAGTTAGGGAGCCCTTCTATAACAGGTTTTACGGTAAAATCAATTTTCATAAAAAATTACTGAAGGAAGATTTGGAACAAAACATGTCCCAACTAACTTGATAACGTATTGTCTTTGAGTCGCATCAATCGAATTGCCAGCTGCGTTCTCAGGGTTCGGGTCATCCCATGAAACAATGGCACTTCCACCAAGCGACTTTTCTTCAGATCCTAGCTCCAACTGACGTGGGAGGCCATAATTTTCCAGATTGGGGCCCTTGTGGTGGACGAGGTTAGGAACGCAGCGTGTCTCGTCGTCTGCGTCTCTAGCTTTCTGAATTTGAAGCGGCTCTATCTCGGTTGCTAGAAACGCTAGAAAACCGAATTTTATACAGAATTTCGTCTATTTTATAGATTCAAAAGATTTTTTCAAAAAATGACCAAAATCCAATGGAAAAATTAGAAAATCACATTTCTAGCGCTTCCAGGAACCGAGATATAGTCGCTTTGAATTTGGGAGGCTAGAGACGCAGACGACGAGACACGCTGCGTTCCTAACCTCCAATAAAAAAGTAGAAAAACTCACGCGAAGTCCAGCGAAATTCACATTTTTGTGAATAAGTAGAAGAATAGATAAATACTGATATAACAGGTTATAGATAAAAACATCGGAAGTCAATAAAAATCAATGAAAAGGCCGGTGGAAAATCAGGAACTCAGCCATAAAGGGGTGTAAATAGGGAGTGAATAAAGAATAATTAGATAGAAAGTGGATAAATAGGTATATTGAAGAAAATCAGAAGAAAGAGGCCTGTGGAAATTCAGATACTAGCCATTGGGATAGAGTAAAATAATGCAGAAAGTCACATTTTGCGGTGGTGGGGTCGAAAACGAAATAGTGCACGCAGAGAAGGAGAGAAACAGTATATAGAAATAGCATGGAATAGACACGCAGCAAAACCGGAGAAAGAAGGCTCATCGAACGTTTTTGCGGGGAGAGTAGCAAAGAATGACATCATCCGGTTGGTCATAAAATGAGAACCCTTCTCTCATCAGCCTTTGCTCACTCTTGGAAACAGAATTAATTTATCGCAAGTTGTGCATTCTGAGGCCGTATGCAAGAAAGTGGAAAA